GACAATAATATAATATTAATATACAATCCAAACATTAAACAGTAAAAACAAAATAATACGACTGAAAGATACAGATACAATACAATTAATCAACAAACATACGAACAGCTCTGTAAGGTGTCTGCTGCTTCATGCAATCAGAGATGCCGTAACTGCCAGACAAAGCCTGGTGCACCACGATAACACTGCAAATTTCTCTTTCAGTCTACAGACTAGTCCCTGAAGTTCTTGCCAACAAGTCTTGCAAACTGTCTGACATCTACCGGTATTTTTCCATAGCATTTATACTTTTCTTTCAAATAGCAGCCACATCCAATCTTGTTTTTGGTCATGCATCGGTTAGAAATTTAACAGGAGCTTCAAGATTTGTACCAGTATATTCAATTGCATATTCTAGATGCTCCAGCCAATTCTTCCTTTCAAATATGAAAAAAAAAGGTTTCTCAGTATTTCTGTAGACGTGATTTTGTGTATAATTTTAATTTTTTTGTGAGCCTGAAGAACCATGTAGACAAAGTTGTTACTCATACTTGTTAAAACCCATGGAATTACATGTAGGTAGGGATTGAAAACCAAATCCAAACGTGGACTGAGTCGGGAATCAAACTCAGGCTGCAGAGGTGAAAGAAAGGCAAGGAAGAAAGCACTTGCCAACCTGACTCCTCTGCACATGTGCATACAGGTAGGCTCCATCGATATCGTGTTTTGGCTGATACCATATTGTTTTTTAATATCAATATTATCAATATTTCGAATTTTATTCATTTCAGTTTTCGAGGTATTATAACAGGTGTGAAGTGCTAGTAAAGTGTTCTAAAGGTTGACCCCTACACCGTAATGGTGTGATTCGATTCCCTTTGGCGACATGTTCTAGCATCCGTATTGCCTACATGGATGGGATACATGCCACCGTGCATGGCGATATCATCAGCACGTGGTGCTAGTCTACGTACATTTGGTTAGCAAATAATTCTCTGTTTTGGAGGATAAATTTTGTGACATTTTCGAGGCAAAGTGTACGCGAATTATTGAGTGCGAGACTGAGATAGGTGACTGAATCCATTCTTCAAAGGTCACCGTATAAGCTGCCCGGAGTATAAGCTACAAGGAAATTTTTCACTCAGCATGAGAACCAATGTAAGTCATGGCTTATCGAAAATTACGGTAATGTGACATGCTTTCCTATTTTTTAAATAAAGTTCAGTAGCGATATTTTTCCAAAATATGATATTTTTGACATATCGATAATACCAAATAACTAATATCAGAGATATCAAAAACAAAACCCATATCGATAATATCGATATATCAACGGTATGTACATGTACATATGTGGAGCAATAGTGATTTCCTTGTCCAAGACGACAGCCGTGATAAGCAGGAGGGGTCGAACTGAATGGTGTTCCTCCACTGCCTACACTGCACTCTATTATCTGTCAGAGTTGGCTCCGAAGCATGCTCACCAATCCGAGAAGCCAAGCCTCATTGACTCTATCAAGAAACTGCTTATCGGCGTGGGACGCCACTACTGATGTTGAGGAAAACAACCCAGACCCTTTACGACACCGCGGAACAGATTGCCACACCTCTACGTGAAACAATTTTTTCTTTCGTACGCCTGCATGTAGCTAATTGAATACTGGCTGTCTTCGAAAACCCAAGGGCCTGATCTATGGAAGAAAGATCTCCCGCCTATAATTACCCTATTAAATTTCCCACCTTTAGTAGATGCTACACACTGCTCCCCCACCCACCTCCTACTAGAACATTCAACTCATCACAGGGTCATCAACACAGCCACGATAACTTTTTATCATTGATGACTGTTAATTGAATATTGATTTTGCTGACAAAGTACTGATGTCAAAAGCATGGAGGGGCAGGCAGTAAATCACCTGCACGTATTATGTTCCTCAAAAAGACAAATATTCCAAGGATGTACAAGAAGAAAAATTACTTCTTTTTTCACAGTTTTCTAGCAGCTTTAGGCACTTTTTCAGTGCTTAAAAAAAATTTATCAGAGACTGACATTTATTACAAAATTTCACTAACCCTTATATACAGTGTGTACATGTAACTCTCCTTATGGCTAGAATTGGCCACAACTGAAATGGCACTTTAAATTCTGTTCAGTGTACACCTGTCACAGAAAGTTGTCTCGTTTGTGCAAGGCTTTGACACACATCAATGCCTTGTTAGTGATAAAAAGGCAGTCTACCAGGACTTACGGTATGCAGGTCTACAAAAACAACCCTCCCCCAATGGTGGAACATTATGGAAAGAGATTAAGCACAGTATCAAGTGTGAAATACATGTACATGAAGAATATATGGTACAGGTACATTCATTCAGACCTTATATTTTGTTACTTCAGCAATTTGATTCTTACATGTACATGAAATGCATGCACATGTACATGTACATGTATAAGCAAGAATGTAGCCATGGCCCAAGCTTCAGCCACATGTACATGACATGCATGTGCATACATGTACATACCGTTCACTGTTCACTTTTATACAAAATTGCATCTTTTCCTGCAACATGTCTTGCCAATGCAAGAGCATTACATGTACTTTATACTGCAGTCAGGTCACAGGGAAAACAGTAAGGCCTCAAGACGACAACATGCCTTGGGACAAGGTTGCATCATGCTGCATTGACTAGTCTTCATTCCAGCATTGATTTAATTGTTTATTGCCAAAAATCTGAACATTACTGTGTTGTATTTATACCAGGGGTTGAAGATTTGACCCTAGTGGAGGTAATTTTGCCTCTTACAACCGCGTGCATGCGTGGTAGCTAGATGTGCATTTTGTTATGGTCTTGACTGGTCTCGAGGGGGAGACCCGAGGAGAAAGCTCACATTACCCCCAATCAATCAGCCCAGAAGAAGAGTTACATATAGATCACATGTCCCATTCAAGACTGACGTGATTATCTCCATGTGCCACGAACAGAAGACACACCCACAACACCAAGCCACATTAATAAAAGAATGCTGCGCACGCTGGACACTCCCAACTGCATCGAGGGTCGCTCAGTAATATTGATTTAAGCTGTCCGAAGTCCGACAACAGATGGCACTATTACAGTGGGGCAGGACATTAAAATACATGTACTTGTGCACCAGGTCCAGTTTAGAATCCGAAGGTACAATCATGCATGCTTTGCTAGAATGGGGTAATTTTTCTTTCATTTTTGTGGAACATCATAAAATAAAACTGTTATCAGTTCCACACGAGGGTCAGGCAGCAACTTGGACTTTGACAACAAAACAAGGAATTCTAATCTTTACAAGACTTTCTACAGTGTTTTTTCAATTTTCAATGGCATGAGTGTGAAGTGAAAAACAAGGAAATCAGCTGATCCAAGGAAAAGTTGTATGCCTGAAGGGTATACAATGTGGATTCAATTCTGCCCAGCAGGCATACACGTAGGAACACAAAATCATGAAAAAGTCTAGAAAAGTATCCAGGTTTTAAGCCAAACTTTTGTAATACAAGCCATGTCAAGGGCACAATGAAAATATAGCAGACAGAAATTAATTTTCAAGAGAGTTTCTCAAAAATGAACAAACAAATTGAGTTTCCAGCAATCTACAAACTTTGTAAATGTGACGCACAGACACTCTGTGAAAATGAAGTCGCCAGAGCCATTTTGGAGTAAAAAGTCCTTTAAAATAATTTTGCACAGTGTAAATCAATAGGAGCCCACAGCATTTTTCACCACGGAGTATCCACTTTCATCAGGATGCCAAACTGAGTGATACATCAAAACAAAAAGCTAAATTTGCTCTTTCCAATACAAATGAAAACTCAAAAAGTGGCTCTGACGACTTAAGTGGGTCACATATATCTAAACTTTGAATCATCTACATGTATTTTGAAATCAGAACGTACACTCTGAAAGAAGCAGGAAATGCCTCTGATGAAACACTGGGTGATTGAGTTGGCAATGGTATTCCTTCAAAGAGTAAAGACTGGACGATATTTCTCCCTTTTTTCTGTGATCAAGTATAAGATGATGGGAAGGCAGACTGCACTGGAGCATTCTGCAATCGTTTCTAATGCCTGTTTTAGCTGTTTGGAGTCCAGTTAGAATTTGATGGATTCATTGCGTTCACAAGCAGCTGTGATTGTTTTCACGGCGACGACATCGGAAACATTTTCATTTCATGAACACCAAAATGCACCAAAAGGCTGACGATGGACTGCAAGCTAAGTTGATTCTTGAAAGATATATTGCCGCTGACTTCCGTGGATGATTCTTCAGCATCCTGACAAGTTTCTGTCTGCTGAAGATCTGATCAGTGGAAAGTTGTGTGCCCGTCGAAATCTGTGGATCCATGGAGGATTCTCATGCCTGGCTCGGTCAAAAAGTGGAGGTAAGGGGGGTAGATATCCCCTGTTCCCCATGTGATCTTATTCGTGTTATAACACACCTCTTGCTAATTCTTAATCCCGGTTAGCTGAAACACACCCACGTGGGGGTTCACCAGTATACACTTACGCATGAAATGTGAGTCAGCTTGAACTAGAATATTGCATGTGTAATTTCTAGACTACAGTACCCGATTGGGCACTATATTCAAAGTTTTGACAATTACAACGCCCTCACATAATGTGACAGGTGAAAAGCACCTCAAAAACTGATCTCAGGAAACTAAAAATATTGCTATAATTGTTGAATTGCTTATTGTTGAATTAATTATGGGTTAATTTTTGAATTAACCCAGTTCAATTGTCAAACCTTGAAAATTACAGAGGTGAGTTATTAGACACATATGGACTGTAATTCAGTCACTCAGGCACTTCCATGCCCACCCCTCCTGAAGAAGGCCAAGGGAAATATGACCCTCTTCTGGTCATGCAGAGACCCTTAGGGTGCATAGTTGTGCACTAGTACCCTTACTGCCAGAACATACATGTGTACTGCCAATGGCAGCTTTTCTGTGATGTAAATCGTTAGAATTATGAAATAAAACTTGGGGCACCTACCTAATTTCGCCGTGATTGCGTTCAGTATGGAGTCGGAATCCCTGAGCATGCATGGCGTCGTGGTGCAAATCTGAATGTGATACTTTCCCACGGGACTCCTGTCAGTAGAGAAACGATTCAGCTGACTTCAATCTGACTTGACAATGAGCTTGAGGCTTTTCATTAGAATTGCTAATAATACAATAAAGCCAACATGTCTCTTTTTATAGATGACGCTGAGAAAGTGCCCACTTGTACTATTAGGACAGAAAAGTGCAGAACTAAATGCTGCAATTTGTGGGAAAAAAACTTGATTTGGGAACAATAAAACAGAAGAGGGCCTTGCCTTCTGCTGTTGTGTGTCGCCCAACTATGACAGCTGGCAGACAGTTCCAAACTGGAACCAGCCCTAGCATGAAGGAATGGCCATCTTTAATCTTATACTTGTCCATAATTTTCAAGCCACAGCCCAGTATTTTAGATATGATAATTACATTAGCTGAGCTATTGCTTTCGTTAAAGTTTCTTTTTTTTCAGACTTTTTTTGTGATAGGGGACTTTGATAGTTTTATTTATCTGATTGATTTCAAACTTGGTAGACCTTTAAATAATCATGTCAGGTTCGTCCCAAAAGAAATTCGTCATGATGACATCATCACATGATTTATATTTGAATTTTGAATATTTAAGTTTTTCCCATAAGTTTTGTGCACGTTTTTCTACTAAATTATTGTGTTACATGAATATTGGTATTTTTAAAAGATCTGATTGACTTCATACTTAGCAAACCTTCCGACAATTACAAAGGGATAGTCTAACACCATAATTGTCATGATGACATCTTCACGTCATTTATTTTAAATTTTCAGTATTTAATATTGCCCATATATATATATAGGTGTTTTACATGTTTTTCAACAGGAAGACTACTTCTGCACTGTTATCTATCTGACTGAGTTCGTGTTAGGGGCACACACGAAGGCCCCAAGCTAGAAAAGGTTCCTGTACAAGTTCTCATAATGACATCATACGCTGGCAAATCATGTTGCATTAAAGGGGTACTCTTTAAAGTTCTATCTCGTTAAGTACATGTCTGATTTGATTGAAACTTCGTGTATAGCTCAGAGGGGAAGGGTTTTAGACCAAGACTGGCTTGATGTGATGATGACCTCATCTAGTGCCAAGTCACATGACATAAAAGGGGCACTCTATAATGTGCTATATCTCGTGAAGTACATGTCCAATTGGGTTGAAACTTTGTGTATAATTCAAAGAGGAAGGGTTTTAGACCCAAATTGACCTCATGTGGTTTTGACGTCATCTTGTAACAAGTCACGTGACATTAAAAGAGCACTCTTGAAAGTACTACAAGTATATCTCGTGAACTACACGTCCGATTGGGTTGAAAATTTGTGAATAACTTGAAGGGGAAGGGTTTGGACCAAAATTGACCTGATGTGATAATGACATCCCTGGGTGACAAGTCATGTGGCATTAAAAGTGCATTGTTTAAAGCCTAATATCAGTGAAGTACATGTCCTGTCAGGTTGAACTTTGCAGATAGCTAGAAAGGGAAGGGTTCGCAATGGAAATTGATTTTATCTGATGCTGGTATCGTTATACGATAAGTCATGTGACATGTATCCAGATGACATGGATAATAAACTTTCCATTACTGTATTTCCACACTTGGCCATTATCTAACAAGTTTGTCCAATGATTTTTTTTTTTAAAACCCTTTGAAACCGAAGCAGCTCCATGGTTGTCCACAACCACAGTATTCTCTCGTTATACGTGTACATGTCTTTTGGGCCGATGACCCGTTTTACTGAGTGAGCATTTCGATTAATCTCTCTGCACCAAGCCTGGTGTAAGACAATGGCGCACGCCCTGAGGCCAATACCTGTTGAACATTGTGTAGAATGTGGCCACTTCGTACACCCTCATCTGAGGCATGCCCAAGATTTCGGCCACTTTGTTCATGGCGGACAGGGGAACCCATCCATGTTGCCGCTGGGCCAGGTCGAGGACGGGGATGACTGCGGCTGACTGGTGCCCCTTTGGGTAGTTAGCTACAATCTCGTCCACTCTCTGAAAGAGTTCAAGCAGAGAACATTTCAGGGCCACAATAAATGTCTTGTGTGGTAGCCATCTTAAAGGGCAGTTCTTTTGTTCCATAGGGAAACCTCATTTGTGCATACTCGGTAGAATAAAAGCAGTGGCCTGCAAGATGGCAGACATGTAAGCCCTCTATACACACAATAAAAGTTAAAAATTCTTGGACAATATACATGGGGCATCTAGGGGTCTCTGTTGAGAAGCAAGTAAATGGTTCATACAGTACAATGCATCTAACAGTGTACCACAACTCATAAAATGTAATGTACATACTTGAACTGAATTCATAATTAAAGAGTAACTCAAAGGAAAATACGTTTTCTCTGATTTTATCTCTTCAAAAAAATATAAAAGCATTCAAATTGAACGCAGTGCCATTTATCTTCAGAGCTGAAGTGTAACAAGCTAAAAAGTTTTTTTTTCTGTTCATGCCAAAATGCGAATTCTGAATGTAGATTACGTCATTCTGAGAAAACACAAAAAACGAGGGGAACCCTCACCTTGTGTTCATGGTGGATAATTCCCTTGTGCACGCCACACAATGGCTAAGGGTTTTTCCACTATGAACAAAGGGCAAGGGTTCCCCTCGTTTTCTATGTTTTCTCAGAATGAAGCAATCTACATTCAGAATTCGCATTTTGGCATGAACAGAAAAAAAGGGCTTTTAAGCTTGTTGTAGTTGAGCTATGAAGACAAATAACACTGCATTCGATTTGGATGCTTCCATATTTATTTGAAAAGATGAAATTAGTGAAAACGTGTTTTGTTAGACGTGCTCTTTAAAGAAGAGTGATTGTTTATTTCTGGTATTTACTGTGCATTTCCTAATTGATCTTTTCATCGTGTCGTTGCAACTTTTTTGACAAGCACAATAATGGGCATCCATAGCTCTGTAATTAGTAGCATCCAGGGAAATGGTCTACCATGGACATGCATATTTGGAAAATGATGTGAAAAAGATTACTCCTTTAAATGAGGTCCATGTTTTAGTCTAAGAATTAGGCATCGCCTTCTGCTTGATTTACGACTGGAGAAACACACTTCTCCCCAACCATTATCAACCCTAACCAATCAAAACATTGCCAAAATACAACAGACGATCCTTCATGATTTTCAAAGGATGACTGCTGCAGAAAGGCCATCCACTACCAAGGGCCATGGCATCCAAATGTTAAGAATACAGACGTACATGTACACGTGTACATACTTTGGAGTTTACCAAATGCACATGTCTTACATACATGTATTGTTGTATTTGTACCAGTGCCGAAAATGGCATGCACTGTACCTTGAGATTCTCTGGGGTGAATTCAAACGGGGTGTCCGGATTGTTTTCTGCTGTGTCTCGATGCTGCAAGCACATGGATGAACAAAAAAAATGTTTTATTGCACATTACAATTTCTTGCTACAGTGAGTTTTATTTCCCAACTTGACTTGATATTCATTGGAAATCTTAGCAAAAACGAATGGATTGCTATCTTAAGTTCAGTTTGACAATTTGTTTAACTATGAACAGAGCAGAGTGCAATACACCAGTAAGTATAATTGTAAAGTGTTTTAAAATAATTCCCAAAGGCGAAGAAGAAGTATTGTAAAAAATTCCACTATCCTCACAATTGACTCTCAGTAGTTTTTCAGAAAGACCACAGGTTTACTCACTCAATGAAATCAGGTTTTTAAACAACATGGATAGTGGGTCAGGAACAAAACACTCATGGCAACATCAAAGTAAATATCAATGTACTTAACCCTAAAAGAGCTGAGGGGAGGAAGGAGGGTTCGGACCACCATTCAGCCCACGAGGGAGGGTAATTCCCAAGAAATCAGTTGTCCCAGGCGTGATTTTTTTTACACTTTACATGCATGTGGATACATTCATTAACAGTATAAAGGTGAAGTTTCAATTCCATCATTTGATGTTCGAGGCCAGAAGCTTATCAGGCCCACATGCATCAACACATGTCACAGGAAGAAAACATTTTGGCTAACATGTCTCAGAAAACAAGGGCACTGCAGGAGAACGGCACCAGTATGTCCAACTTTCACAAAACTGGTGTCAATGTGAATGCAAGATATAACTGAAAATATTCCTGAAGGTTTGGCACGTGAAAAAAATGCACCACAATGGTACCGGAGAAAATGTTGAGATCCCCCTCCACTGTTGCGACTCTTTTAGGGTTGAAAAAGAAACTTAAAAACTGACTGATTGACTGATTGAAGGCACTGACTGATTCTTCTTGATACATGTACATTTAACAAGGAAAAGCACAGCTCAAACTCAAAGTGATGGGACATAAACCATTTGAAACTTACAACAACTAGACCATGGCCTCCAGCGACTGGCGTGGCTCTGTGCAGCGCCCTCACTTGGGTTGCCTGCAACATACAACAAAGCAAAGCTGGAATCGGACTAATTGACTTTATAAGTGAATCAAATAAATCAGCAGAAGCACACATTTCAAAACTAACCGGTTACTGAGTCATTCTATAAATTAGAGGTCCAATTTTTTCGTGTCCCTGTTACATCTGACATATGATTTTGTAAGTTCAGAACACATTTCTAAATTCCAAAAGTGATGAATTATAGTTTGAAATAAATTTCGGTGATATTTCCATGTCAAATAACAAAAGTCAGATGTTCTGTGACAGGGACACAAAAAGTTCACACTTTTGGACCCCTAATTTATAGAATGACCCGACTCGTTCTTTTGGCAATGCATACATGTACATTCTCTTAAAAAAAAAAAGAGATGCATATAAAGGATCTATGCATGCATCTGTTACAACTCTTGAAAAAAAAAGTGGGCCTGCCTTTGAATTTCAATTAATCTGATTCTCAATTGAACTCAATTGATTGGGAAAGTTCTTTATATCGGTGCTTATTCTGGCATTTATGCTAATGCAAAGTTCTATAGTCACTTTACCTTAATAAGTCATGCTGTTGAACCTTTGTGAACGATGTCAATGTCATGAAATTTTCTCTGAAAATCAACCATTCGACCTTTTTCACAACACACAACTACCGTCTATGACTGTAATCAATTTCAAATTCTACATGTACTTTTGCCTTGGCACTCATACCCTAGTGACTTCCACTTCTGTAAGTACATTTCTTTGTACCCTCCCCCTTCCTCTGTGCAGAGAAGTGAAAATGTTTGCCCTGCGATTTGGTATTGGTGGATAAGTGGCCAAGGATACATTTCTTAGAGCCACACTCATGGGGCTACCCAGCATGCCCAGCCTTCACCCATGAATGAATGATGTTCCTGTCACTGCCATAAGTGAGGGCACCATTCAATTGGGATCTCATTAATATTGATAGGAAATTGTGATTAAAATTTATCTTTTTCTGCATGTTGTAACTCTTCTATTTAATTGCAAAATATTTGAAATACATGTACACGTATATCTACTGAGGCCTGCATAGGCGCAAATAAGAACAAAGATTTCACAAAGAAATGATTCTAAGCTTTTCACACTAATTTTTGTGTCGAAAATAATCAGTTTGCTCTGCATTACACACATTCAAAAATCTTCATGTTTCTCAAAACATCCCCAGGCTTACTTCATATCAATTTTTCTTTGCTTTGCAAAGTCCAATGGAATCCAAACTTATTGCAATGTTTCTGATAACATCCTCTCCAAGATCACTTCAAAAACAAAACACAAGAAAATTTTGAAAAGTTTATTAACCAGGCAGGTCCATGTACAGGCCATGAGAATAGAAGATGTACCGGTAGATTTGCATCTACTGCCTCCTTGTTCCAATACCACCGCCCCCAAGAAATCATTATTAACAAAAATGTCATTACACTGTATTTGTCAGAAAAAGACACAAAATCACAAATATCTGAGTTGTGAATCTACATGTACATGTAAGTTCTAGCACTAGCAGCTGTATAAAACACAATACGCCTGTGTCAATATTTATGCATTTCTTCCATATTCAGCTTACATGTAGTTTAAATGGCTTTTGTACATGTATGTTCAGATGTCTGCTTGAGCTACATACATGTATATGTATGGCCGACCCATGTGTGGGGGATTGGCTTGCTCGTTTTTTTATGAACGTTTTACTGTCTTTTTTGTTGTGATATCCCTATAAGCCTTATCGCTAACACCATATGGCTGAGTTTGCACAAATGTGGAAAGGCATTGTAGGAAGGGAAAAGGCACAATGTTTGCCCCTTTTCCCTTCCCATGATGCCTTGATACTATTGTGCAAAATCACTCTTACAGTGCAATAAGGCTCATTTGACCTGATTCATGATCTCTGATGATTGTCGTGATTGTAACAAAACGTAGGACAAGTTTGCTCAGCTTGCATGCCTAGGGCCTACATGTAGCTAAGGACATGAATAACTGCATGAAGGCACTCTTTTATTTGGAAATTCATTCTATTAAATAGGAAATTGTGATTAAAATCTTTTGTGCATGCTGTAAATGTACCGGTAGCTCCTCTATTAAATTCCGATTTTAAAATTTTTGAAATTTGAACTGAAGCCAGCATTTGATTGATTGAAATAAGGCCCAAATAAGAACAAACATTAAAAAAATCCCAAATCTTTAGGTTTTTAATTAAATTCACATTCATTTTTGCACACAAAATAATCAGTTTGCTCTGCATTACACATGTGCAAAAACATCTCAAATCATCCCACTTCAAATTGATTTTTCTTTGCTTTGCAGATACTCGGATGGAATCCAAATTTATATCAAAATATTTCTTGCGACATCCTCTTCAAGATAACTTCAAAAATAAAACAGGGAGTAATTGCAGAATACCCCGCCACGTGAAAACACCCCCTTAAATCCAATGGCTATGTAGTCGAGTGGAGGTTGAGTCCTGCAAAGCAATTAAGTGAATTGGGATGACGGAAGAATTTTGTAAGTCCAATGTGGTTCCCGGGGAGCAGCTATGCAGATACAGGGATACGAAGTGGGCTTTGTGAGTCCTGCAATGCAATTAAGTGAATGGGGATGGCAGAAGAATTTTCTACGTCCAGTGTGGGTCCCGGGGACTGACTACGTGGATATGGGGATACGAAGTGGGCCTTGTGGAGGGAAGCGTGACTCCGTATCCGCGTATCTGCGGCTACGAGGTGGGCAAGGTGAGTGACGGGGTATTCTGCAATTGTGCCTAAAACAGAAAAACAAAATTCAAAAGTTTATTATTAGCATTCCTTCCCTACCTAGCCATTGCTAGCCTTGGCCTTCGCCTTGCCAGCTAGAGATAATCTGATATTATATTGTAAAGACAATGTTCAGACATGTCAGAACTCAGATGCATGATAGACATGATAGGCCTAGCACTAGTACTTTAGTAGTAGTAGTACCACTAGTAGTAGTAGCAGTAGGCCTAGTACGAGATGTTGGACGTCTGGCATGTCTGGTGGATCAACAGCATGTACTGTCAGCAATTGAACAAATTTATGACATAAATTCTATAAATAAATTATGAAATATCTTACCACATTCCTCCTGAGCAATCTCACCGGCATTTGTAACATTTTCTTGGATTTTTGGCACTTGCTCTACTCACAAGGACAACGCGATTGGTACGGCAAACCTGGATAACGAGCAATCGTCTTCGCAAAGTTGCAGTCTTGTTACTGGTTCAAGATATGGAGTTACAAATGGTGGAGGCGTTACATCTATGCGTTACCAGACTATTCCACTTTAGTAATTTTAACCTATGACCTCAAGTTTTACATAATATTTTCCTGTCAAATTTTCATCACTAAATTTGATATAAAACAGTTGGCATATTTGCACAAATAATATGTAACCATATAACCATAACGTATTTAACCATGTAAAGTTTTATGACAAAGCATTGATACAAAGTGCATGTACACGTACGACATAAAACAGCAACTCTTTACATGCAACAGTCGTATATGTAAGCATTTTGATATGCCATTTTGCCTGTAGCTTATGGTGGCCCTAGAGGGACATCGCCAATCGTCAATATTGACGTCAATATTTGCAAACAAATTTACAACCCACTCTTTGATCGCAAATATTGCCGCCAATATTCACGACCAGAAAGCAAGTCGTGAATTTTGACGGCAATATTCGTGACCAGAGAGCGAGTAGTGAATTTGGTTATGTATATTGGCGTCTGTATTCACAACGTAGGCCTAATCCTGCGGGAGCTGATTGGGTATTGTTATATTTCTGTTATGTCTATTGCAGTGTTTATTTGTTTTCTTGTCTGTAAGTTATTGTATGTATTATCCCAAAAAATGAAATTGATGAAATGAAAAAAAAAATGACCGAAGAGTGGGTCGTAAATTTGGTCGCAAATAATATTGACGATTGACGATGTCCCTCTAGGGTCACTATACTATGAGATTACAGCGCTGGTGCGGCTGCGCTGCTAGCGCTAGCGCTGCTGAGACATGTCGATGACAGCCAGCTAGCTAGGCCGGCTTTGCAAGCGCGCAGGCAACAGCCGTTTTAATTAAATTGTTGCTACACCACCGGGCACAACAACTGGATTGAATGTCAGCTTGAACTTAATCACATCCATGATTTAATCAATATTTCGGGATTGTAAGTATGTGAGATTTGTCTTACATGATCTTGTATTTCCATTTGTAGTTAAGCCTGCATTTTGAATCATTTCTTTTTCCTTGACAACTGAGATTAAAAGACTAGAACAGGGCGGGCATCTGTGAATGATCTAGCCCATATCGTCATGATCGCTCAGCATGCCCAGCTCACCTGACATGGCCAAAAGCCTGTGACAGACCGGACCAGACTGTAATGCTTATGGTACGCGGCTTTTGAACCATTGAGACTGATTAATGTTTTTCCATGTTACTGACATGCATTTGGTGAACTGCCGAAAATATTGCGAAAAATTAAAATCTAAGTCAGGCATAACTATGACCGTATGAGCATGATGAGGGTATTCCGCATGTTCAGCCTATTGAGTATTGTAGGCAGTATATCATGGGCCTAGCATGCCTAGGCCTGGCTAGTCCTATCCTTCAGGGTGCATATTGAACAATCATATAAAGTCCTATCTTAATTAATTTCATGGATTTTTAAAACCTTGCCTAAACCATGTAAACAGCTATCAATGGCTACACAGCAGTTAGTGTTATGCCTATATAGAGTACTGAAGTGAAGACGTCATTTGTAAAATTGTGTGTAAAAGGCAATAGTGCGAGAACCATCACATAATGAAGACTCGCTTGTACATGTACATATACTCCAATCGTTTGCACCGCTTTTCTTGGTTCAAAATGACGTCAAAATTCAGAACTCTATAAAGTCACATTTGTATTGCCTACTGTTTCTGTGGGATGCTAGAATTTGTAGAAATGTCATCCTTGTTTGGTGTCAAATACCCCCAAAATTACATTTGCCCCATTACTTTTAACATGTATGAGGGTCGTATCTAGTAGTGTGCAGTATTTGATGTGTTGATAGCTGAAATGGATTTAAATAATTCCTTATTTATTATTATACTTTTGTACTGATGGCCATCTGTAGTTTTAACAAGCCACAGATTGGCAAAACTACAAGTATGATATACACGTAGAAAGAGTTGACCCTATAATGAGTTTAAAAATTGATGAGTTTTTCCATCTACTGCTGTTGTACCGTTGTTTTTCAGTCACTAAAATCTTTTCTTTTTGGTATAGTTACAAATGTACCTCAAGAGGAGTCAGTGACTCATTCCTCACAAAACATAGTACACCACTTAATTGTAATGGTACACCCCGACTGTAGCATCCCAACATTAGTTGAGCCTCTCCCAACTACAGGTGGGTCAGGCTCAAGTATTGTTGGGACAGTGATGTAGTTGGGGCGTAATGGTAACAGTAGGTAGCTGGCTCAGTATCAGTACTCGGTACTTGGTGGTTGGTCCTGAGTGAAATTTCTATGTGCAATATTGCCTTGTTTTAGGATCCAACTTAGATTAAAAGTTCTGAGTTACATTTGATTTTGTCTGGCCTCTCAGGCGTGAGCAGATGACGGACTCGGAGTAATTTCAAGAGAGATCATCAGCTATGGGAGAGAGAAGCGGGGGTTATGGCCTCTCCAGCCACAAGGGCAAATACTTTGACCTCAAGGTCAAGTTGTTCACCAGTGAAACGTTCCCAGTCAGAGATATCTACAATGAGATGAAGGTATCTATGTCAGACACTTCAGAGGATGTTCAAGTGTGGACAAGATGACGCCGCCTTTCCCTCTGGTTCCACAATGTGGAATAGAGCAAATGAGTGATCCTCAAAGTCCAAAGTTTGGTACTGGAATAGCTTTGACAGTATTAAGGTTTCCTCCTGAAATGACAGTACAGGTTTGCTGCTAAAGGTGTAAATTTGCCTTAACAGAAAAATTAAAAAAAAGCACCAAAGTGTACTGAAGATGGCCATATAAATATTGAAATTAATCCTAACCCCCAAGGGTGTATGTAAAATCATATATAAATTGGAGGATTTGGGACTTAGGGCTACGGTTAAGCAAAGACACAACTTTCAAGTGCTTGTTCAAGTATTAAAAATATATATGGACTGCTAGTTTGAATACATTTTTCCCCTGGTTACAGGTGAGAACACTGAAAGCCAAGATGGAATTTGTGACTGGAATCCCAAGCCATCTCCAGAGACTGACCTACTTGGATGGAGGTGAGTTTCATTGCTGCAAGGATTTATGTCATATGGGGATTGGCACTGCAAGATATGATTCAATAAGCCTTTTACGAGTTAAATTTGAATAAAATCTGATACACTGAGTTATCTGATTGCACATAAACATAACAATTTGAATTCCTCAGACTAAAGACACTGTTGCTATACCTTGTGATTCGGGGCAAGCTTTTGCTTAGCGACCACCATCTCTGGAATGGACTGGTTCCTTTGTGCCCTTCTTATCCATTGAAAACACTGTATTGGTGCAAGGCGTCTCTTATGTAACTAAGCAAAAGCTTGCCCCAAAGAGGTATAGCAATGATTAGTATGGAGAATTCAAATTGATATGCTCACATAAATTTAAAGAACTCAGTGTACCAGATTTTATTCAAATTTAACAGGCAAAAGGCTTATTCTCTTTGGTATGTAAGACCAAATGTACATGTATAATCTAAACGTGTACACATCTAAGGCAAGTCGACAATTTAAGACTTGAAACTTTGCATGGTGGGAGCTAGAGTGTACACCATTGTGCTGGTTCTGGGGAGAACCGCTGAGTGGGAACTTGATGTCTCGACCTCGATGCTCTGGTCGTTGAGTTTCCGCTCATCTGTTCTTCTCAGAACCACCACACCTCTAGAAGAGATCGATTCCACGTGGTGTACCTGCAAAGTTTTCTCAGTCGGCAGTTTATTCTGTAGGTTTTTTGCAAAATTGTACAGACCAAAAGTACATTATTTGTCCCCTAAATTTTCAATTCACATCTTATGGGTGAATCACATTAATGTCCTGCTGATTTTACTACGGTAACTGTTTTCCACCCCAACCCTCAGATGTACAAATGTGACTCAATGTAACAGAATGAGTTGCAGGTTGCCAGAGCCACTTCCGAGTTAAAGGCTTTTAACGGAAACTTAAATCAGTAGGACCCTCCAACATTTGTCACCTGGTTTTCTTCAGTTTTCACTCGTACTCAAACTGAGTGATACATGTGTAACCTGGAAAAATGGCACAGTGCTAGAAAAATCAAGAACTCTGAACTAAAGATAAACATTTTTAAGGGGAACTACTTCCATGTAAAAACATGTATTTAATAAAACTCATTTCTGGCTCTTCCACACATGCACATCCGAAAAAAATTCCAGTTTAATTCTGTGTAATAACATTTAAAAAAATCTTAGAAAGTTGCCCTGAAAATTATTTTATGGGATCCAGTCACAAGTAGAAGATTTGTGAAGGTTCCTCACAGAAATGGTCTGGGAAGGTAGGAGTCATAGAGTAGAATTCCTTGATGTGTTTGTTTTTCTTCTTTCTTTCCTTTTGTTTATTTGTTTGTTTGTTTATTTATTCATTTGTTTAGCTGACATGATGGATGACAGTGACATCAAACATCACGACATTGTTCCTGGGGCGACCATTAACCTGGATGTTTGGTACACATGGAAGACCCTCATACAAGCAGCTGCGGATGGAGACATCGGCAGGGTCAGTCCCAACCAATTTTGTGCCTCCCACCCTTGCAAACCCACCACAAAGTCCTCCGGTCAAGGGCCAAGTCACAGGCTATTGAAACAAACTGTGACGAAAGTGTCCATCTGTCATTGTTCACTGCGCTCATGAAGGGACTTGTGAAAGGACTTTCAGGTGCACTGATGTTTGTTGGTACATTGAGTACCAGTGTCAGCTCTTTCTCTCTTGGTGCTTTTTTGATGTACTGCTGGAACGCCGAGGATGAAGTGGTCCATGATACAGAATTAATAAGCCCAAATGTCACATGTGCCCACTTTCTATTCTCTTTGATGAGTGATTCTGTTTTGTAGTCACGTCAATGACAGTTCAGTCCCTTTGTACGTCCTACCGTAAGACCAGTCTTTAGTAACAGGGCAAACAGTGACAAAGAAATGCTTTTGTTAGAGTTCATTTGAACACTTCATGACTTGGCTGAAGACTGAATGACTTGTGATGGACTTGAAGGGACTTGTGATGGATTCAACTGCAACGCTTTTTGCCAATTGTTTGCCGTTTAAAAAATTTCACTGATACGGAAATGTTGTACCCTTCTGTTGGCGTTGGCAAGTAGGTAGTAGTGCTTACATATTTATTATCTTAAGGAAGGTTTGTCTGAAATTGTTTTATAAAGCAAAACATCTTCTACCCCTTCAAACATCTACCATTTCTTAGTTAGCTAAAATGTGCTTTTTTTCCTGCTACAGCTACTCAAGCTTGGGGTGAGCAAGGATAGTGACTACACCACACCCAGCTCTCAGGAGATGAACGAACGCTCCAAGGCGGCTTGGCTTGCTGAGAGGGCATTTGTTGCCCTGTGCATTACAGCACATAGGGGCCATGTTGCCATCGTGCAGAAGCTCATCGATGGGGGTACAGTTTGGATATTCTGCAAGATTTGTGGAGAATGGTTGTCTATATTTAGCAGTTGCCCGCTGTGTAATAGTACTGCTACTCAAGGCACTATGACACAAGGCACTATGACACAAGGCACTATGACACGAGGCACTATGACACGAGGCACTGTGACACAAGGCACTATGACACAAGGCACTATGACACAAGGTACTATGACACAAGGTACTATGACACGAGGCACTATGACACAAGGTACTATGACACGAGGCACTATGACACAAGGCACTATGACACGAGGTACTATGATACGAGGCACTATGACATGAGGTACTATGACACAAGGCACTATGTCTCGAGGTATAATGACACAAGGCACTATGACAGTTGACAGAAGTTCTTTGTAGTGGCTGCACTGTGTGCGGGGAGCTGGAATTGTTAGACTGTCTTTTGTCCGGATTGAAGATTTGGAAGTGTTTAAAGTGTCGGCGTTAATTAAATATAAAATAGTGGTACCGGTTGTCTATTGACATTTTCTCAAATGCAAATCGTGACCAGTTGGCCAGTATTTTGTCGACAGTAAACTTGAAAAATGGCCTCTACATAACAACCTCTTGGTGGCGCTCTGTATTGTGAATTGCCTAGTATCAGCCCACATTTGCTCTGTGCCATCACAGGTACCCATTTGTACTGCGAAGTGCGGAGAGACAACTTTGGGTAATATGGGTAATTTGACTTACCCAGCATTTAACCAGCCGCTGCATTCAAACCTAAATGCCATGATTTGGGAGTTCACAAACCGTAACCTGGCCACTCACCCATTCAGGGCCCTGCAGCCTTACTGTAACTTTGGCACACGTGTTCATTCTGCTGGATTGACTTATTTGGTTGTGGTAGGCCACACACCAATGATGACAGCTCCTCTTCTGGTGTCATTTTCCAGGGGCCAATGTGCACGACAAGACCCCGAATGGCCGGACCGCCCTCCACATCACCGCAGCCCAGGGCAAGAACAATGCGGTGGAGGTGCTCCTGAATAACGGCGCCACCATTGAAGACCCAGACAACGACGGAAAGAACCCACTGGTGCTGGCTGGCCTGTGGGGCCACAAGTCGTGTGAGCGGCAGATCTTCCTCTTCCAGTGGCAGCAGCGGGCCGCCAAGCAGAAGCCCCTGGCCGACGACGGGCAGCTGATGGCCCACCAGATGTATGACTCTAAGCTCAAGACCTGGCTGACTGGCGAGCAGGCCCAGCTGTACTATGCCCAGATCCTACCCCCTGGGGAGTACTCAGGGACCGGGATAGCGGCCCCAAGGAGGGCTAGAAGACCCAGCTCGGCACCCTCGGAGCGCACGGAGGCGAGCGAGAGAGACCAGAAAATAATGGAAGGAAATAAAGGAACTCAGGTATCCCTGGGAACTGAGTCATTACGAGCCTTGAGATCGACAGAGACGAAGAAGCCAGGCAAAGGACGATATTCCAGGTATTGTGTTATATTGTGTAAATGTAGATATGATTAGGTCTCTTGCAAATCTATTAGCTCATGCTTTAGTGTGGCTTCAGAACAGGTTTTTGTCATGACATCATAGCAAAAACAGCATTATACCATTAGCATGCGGTGGTCTTACGAGTACACTCACATTTGGGTAAAATTTGCATATTATAAAATTGGATTTACTACTCCCTTTAGAACTTCAGGTCTTTTTATTTATGGGACTTCAGACATGACATTGAATATTTTATTTACAAGTGTCTGAAAAGCATGCCTCCATGTACCGTCAGTACTAGTGGATGTAAAGTGATAACCTTGTACGTGTGGAGGTAAGAGTTCCACATACAGACATCATTGAATTTTCCTTATTGCAGTTATGCATCAATGCTAAGACGTAGCATTGTGTTATCTAACTTTATTTCTTCAAGCCAGGGTCGTAACAATCCGTTGCTAGTTAGTTTCTGCCAAGATTTTGCTGTTTTTGACACCTTTTTCTTTGTTGCTTAGTGCCAGAACCAAATGAAGAAGCAGCACAGACCTTTGATGTTCATTCTGACAGAGCTCTGTTGACTCTGGCGACGGAACTTGATTACGAAGTAGCAATGTCGTACCTACTTCAAATTAACGTAATTGATGTTAATGCAAGCCCACAACATGAAGGCACACTCACAGTGAAGGTGAGATTTCTCATTGAAGGGTTTTGTGTTGGTCTTGTGATGGTATTGTGTTGGTCATGTGATGGTCTTGTGATAGTCTTGTGATAGTCTTGCGATGGTCTTGTGATGGTCTTGTGTTGGTCTTGTGATGGTCTTGTGATGGTCTTGTGTTGGTCTTGTGATGGTTTTGTGATAGTCTTGCAATGGTCTTGTGATGGTCTTGTGATGGTCTTGAGATGGTCTTCCAATGGTCTTGTGTTGGTCTTGTGATGGTCTTGTGTTGGTCTTGTGTTGGTCTTGTGATAGTCTTGAGAGGTCTCAACTTCAACTCTGTTCACAATTAGAAGACTTTGTGTTGATTTTGCTTTCTCTGTACAGATAACATTAAATGATGTGAACGATAACTGCCCTGTAGTCTCCAACAACAGCCTAGCATTCTTCCCATTACCTGTACTCCAGCAAGATCCTTTGACTGAGGTGATTGCAACAGACGCAGACAGTGGAGTCAATAGTCAGATCACCTACCATACTTCAGACATCACTCAGATGTGAGTTATAGAGACTCTAATGCCCACATCCATGAAGCTGTTATGAAGAAAGTTCTGCTCACCAATTCTACTTTCTGAGACTATCTGCTCTGAGCGGAACAAAAGAGGGCTTGGTTTTTCTTAGTACTCACTGCATAGGCGCGCATTTATAATGGAATCAATGGCGCGTTTGACGGGGAGCGTGCTGAGTTTGCCTAACGAATTTATTCCTTAATGTATGGTCTGCGTACACGCAGAACGCGTGCAAGAACCCGCTATGAAACTTACAACCACCTGTCTTTCTTTTGCTGCTTGGGGATGTACTTCAACTCAGGGCAAATAACCAATAGAGTCAATTTATTACCAACTGACATGTATACATTGTGTAATTTTTGGCAGAAAACAATTTCTGCTTCATGTTTAGTGTTTTTGTCTGTTATCGCCTCCAAGTGGAACATGAGAGGGCATGTTCTTTTGGTACTCACTGCATATGCCCTTCATTTGTGGTGTTTTGTCGCCATATGTTACAACCAGTTAATTACGAAATCCAGATCCAGTAACCTTGTTTTCATGACATTGTTTTCTTTTCTTTTTTTGCAGTCCGATTGTCAATGACACATTCTCAACACTTCAGTTGACAGTCACTGCAGTTGATGGTGGTACACCTGTACGTGGTACAATTGTCAACATAACCGTGATGATAAGCAACACTTGTCTTTATGATGCAACCAATGAGCCTGTAGATGTCAACGTTTACATTGATGTTCCATCTGGTGGTCTGTACCTGAGGGTTCCCAGGTACTACGTGTATGTTTATGGTAAGTCAGTTATCATCAGAAAGTTTTAGTGCAATTTTTATTCATTATCTCACAACTTGTTACGTTTTGATGAGATTACAAAGATGAACAAAGAAATTGACTGGAGTGGGATTTGTACCTGCGGCCTCCGGAATACCGCACCAGTGCTCTACCAACTGAGCTATCCAGCCCTATGTTGGTGGCTGTTCCCATTTGTCAATATCTGTGTTTTGGGGAGCTAGCCAGAAGTCGTTAAACCTGAAACACCATATGACCAGGGATCACGCCCCAGTTACAGGATACAACGTGGGAAGGGGTGAACAGGGATCACTTGAAGAGGATACGGCTTATTTTAATCATGTTTGAAAAGTTCAGGCATTGGACAGCCAAGTTGTAAGGGGAGAGAATACCCCTATCTGAGCCAGGAGGTGGCTCAAACAACCCTGGCTCAGGTAAGGTTAAAACCCTTGAAATAACCTCTACATCACTGCTTTGCCTGAGATTGCTTGCTGTTTTCCTGGAAAAGATTCAAGTCCAAGTATTTTGTCTCTCGGATATTTCATTTGATTGACTTTTCTCTTTGTTTAGCGTGTAGAGATGCCCTTGGCATACAGACAGGTGTCATTCAAGACAGCATGATGTCAGCGTCATCTTTTAACGACTATGCACACACAGCAAACAGAGCACGGCTGCATGCCAATGCCAGCGCAGATGGTGAAATTGGATCAGGTAAGGTTTGACTTTCTTTGTAAAGAACAAGGGTCTCATCAGGAGGAGTTTGAAAAATGTTCCCTCTGATCTAAATCAGGACTGTCCGAGCCCAGTTTTTTGTTAAAACTTCTGCAAAATATTCCTCCATCTTGCCAAATACATTTAATTGGTTTTTGGAGGTTTGCTTGTAAACACTTGTTACTCTACTCTGTGTTTGTTTGTTTGTTTGTTGGGTTATTTGTTTGTTTGTTTTTGTTAGGTTGGATAGCAAAGACTGCCGACTCCAATCAGTGGTTACAAATTGACACCGAGACAATCACCATCTTCTCTGGGGTCAAAACTCAAGGTGTTGGAGACGTAGAAGCCTGGATTAAGACGTACTATGTGGAGTATTCTAATGATAGTAACACATGGCACCGGATATTGGATGAAGATGGCAGTGATCAGGTATGAAAAGTATTCATTATAAGATTTGTAAGATTGCATTAGAAATATGGTTTAGGATCTGCTATGTTGAATACTTCAATGATAGTAGTACATGGCACAGGATATTGGATGAAGATGGCAAAGATCGGGTGCAACGGAGTCAAAATGATCCAATCTTCGGTATAGAATCTTCCAGTGATAGAAGTGCAGGGTAGCGGGTATTTGATAGCCCTGCTAATGGTGGGAAGTATATTCCAGTCAGCAGCATATAACGATAAATTATGACAGTGATGATATTATAGCAGTGACAGTAACATCACTAGGACCTGTTGTTCAGGTTACCTCATTAGAGCAACATGTAGCATGGTCAATAGTGTATGACTGAGGGAGGTGCAGTGAGCAATATATTTGGATCAGTATGACAGTGGCGATAATATTGCAGTGACAATAACATCACTGGGACCTGTCGTTCAGGTTATCTCATTAGAACTAGCATGACCAATGGTGTATGATGGAGGTGCAGTGTGCAATATATTTGGATCCATATAACAGTGACGATAATATAGCAGTGATGAATATATAACTGTGGTAATAATTTTAATGGGACCTGTTGTTCATCAATGCTAGCGTGATTAGCGTAGGATAGAGGAAAATACCATGACCAAGCTGTTTGCAGTAACGACTCACTTGAAGTAAGACAACTTGTGTGACATTATCTCGTTTGCTGTCTAGCTCTTCACTGGTAACACTGACCAAGATACCGTTGTCGTGGTTTACTTTGATGAAGTCTATGCCCGCTATATCCGCATCCTACCTCAATCCTGGCATAATCAGGTTGGTCTGAGGGTAGAGATTGTTGGTTGTACAACAGAAAGACGGCTGCGACGTAAGTCACTTTTGTTTGCCATGTGCATGATATGTACTGCTGTGGCCACATCATTCTCTAAATGACTTTATTTTAAAGTGTAGATGTCAGTCACAGGTGTTAAAAACTTCTCTGAATGCAGTTGTAATTAAGTGCAAAAGAACAGCACAGAAGAACGTAACATTACCCAGGTACTAGAGAACATCCTCTGTATGAATTATTAACATTTCCATTGCCCTGAAAGGAACCTAACGCCACCATTAACAAATTGAATCGTATTTAACCCTAAGAGTCCTCAATCCTTCACCTGTTGGAGGACTGAGGACTGTTAGGGTTAATTTAAGCTAATCTGTGCATGGCATTTCTTACAAGACAGCAAGAGAAGGCGACACACTCCTTCAGTGTTTGGAACTCTGCCCCCAAGCAATTCTCCTGACTACCAAGCCACCTAACTCCTTCATATCTCCATAGGCTTAACCCAGTTGGGACACTGTTTCACCATTAATGCCTAAGTCCAATAGATCGATTCAGTAAGCCCCACTCACTGGGCACATGGACGCTTGCCTGTGTGTGTTCTTTTTCAGTGCCACTCTTCATGTTCCAGTGGCACGCATCATACACCTGTGCACGTATGTTGGACTTCCTGCACGTCTTAAATGAGATTAGTCAGAAGACAGTGAAGTGGGGCTTAATGGATCGGTCTATTGTAAGTTAACCTGCATTGTGGTCGTAAAAACAGAAAGTAAAGGGGGTACATCTCTAGTTGTTTTCCCATAGCTCCGCCCCTAAGTCAATCCACTATAATCCCATGCATGCCTGACCCACTTATTCCATTGCATGTCTTCATAGACTTAACCCAATGTGAGCGTTGTCTGACCACCAACTACTGCATAGGGGATGGATTACAGCGTCCTTGTGGCCGTTGTGACCCTCCGTCTGACTCATGTGACCGGTCACCTTCAGAACACTCCTTTGGTCACGCCTTTGAATGTGTGCCTTGCCCCATAGGTTGGGTAGGTATATGGAATTCAAGTCTCGAACAAACAAGGCCCACAAGCTAGGGTTGAGTCTGCAGTCTCCACAAGACTATAATTCCCGACCTTGACCAAGAGAGGGCACAATTTTCTCAGGGACTGAGAGGCTCCTTTGGTAGTAACTACGTATCGCTGGTTCACAAACAACTGTGAAACACGAATATTGCAGTCACATCACAACCAACAAATTGAACACTCCCAACAAATATGGCTCTTTCAACCAATGAGGGGGTGCTTCTGCTCAGAGTGGTTGTCAGTTGTATGGTGATTACATATCGATTATAAATATACAAATGTGTTGCTGAATTGATAGTGTAACAAAACCACTGTAAATTATTGAAGTATTGAAGTGAATATATGGGAATTGTTGAAAAGGTTAAAGGTTGAGTTTTGTGTGGGTTTTTGGTGCATCAATCTGACGTTTGAAACTATAAAATGAAACATTCATTTGATCATGACAGTCGTCAATAGGAAAATACTGAATATTGATTCCATCCCCACTAACTAGGTGAAGTTTGTTTGGCTTAAGATTACTTTGGATTAAAAAACATTGATGTCCGTTTGTCAAAATTCCTCTTATTTATGTTCCTGTAGCTGTGTGAAGATGGTTACGCTACTCCATGTCCCAAATACCATCATGGTCGCTGCAATGAAACAGTAAGTACACATAGCTACATAATCCATGCAGACTGTGAAATCAACAACAATCTTGTGCCTAAATTTCTTTTATTTCAATTTCTTGAAATTTCTCTATTTTGAATTTTAAGACATAACAAACAAAGGTCGTTCAGGGGCTGTCTAGGAAATACAAAAGCTAACAATGGTCATCAAAAGATGTATATAAACCAGACCCTGCTTTTAAGCCAGAAGTTTGAAATGTTTAGATTCAGAAAACAAGAAAAAAAAGTCTTGTTTCTTTTCATCTTTGTGTAGTATTGTCCAGGGACATGTACTCTGTGTGATCCAGGCACGGCATGTTTCAGTGGCATACAATCCATCTGTCCTCAGGGATTCTACTCAAAAGGATCTGATTCAGGTAAAACTCTTGGCAGTAGAGGTCTGACAAACTTTAAGCTTGGATACAGTCTTTTTACAGGTATGAATATGGCCTGAATGTAAAGTTTAAAGACCTGTTAAAGGTGTGGGCAAAGTTTTTATCACATTTTGAATTGTTAAAAGTATAATTAGAGGGAAGGTGCCATTTCAGGTGGGGAGTTCTCACGTCATTGGTAAAGAAACTACACCTTGTAAAAAGAGAGTGCAGTAACACCATGTAGATAAATATTTTTGTGGAAGGGGTATGATTCTGATAAGAGCTGGTGAGTGTGTGCTCGACGTTTCGACCAGTGTGCAGTGGCGTAGCCATGGGGGGCCTGGGGGAGCACTTGCCTCTCCTACCAATTCCTGGTGACCCCCCCCTTGAAAAACGGCAGAGGAATGATATTGAACAAGGCTAACAAAAACTTGGCCCAAAAACCACACCACTGAAAGCTGGTGCCCCCCCATAAGATGCTGGTGCCTCTTTGTGCCCCCACCAGTAAAATTCTAGCTATGCCACTGGGCCCTGGTCGTCCTCAGGAGGGGATCCACTCACTGTTCTTGTAAGAACCATACCTCTCCCCAAATAGATCTGTCCACATGGTGTTACGGTAAGCTCTCTCTTTTTAGGCTATCATCACCATGCAACTATGCAACAACATGAAAGATATTCTGAGGAGCCTGGATTACTCAAAGATTATGATGCGGTTTTCTTGCCTGAATAAATACAACTGTGGTATATCTGTCACATGTTTCCATTTGATGTCGTAGAGTTCTGTATACCATGTCAGCCTGGCACTTTCAACAACTTCACCGGACAGTCAGTGTGTGAGAACTGTCCAGCCGGATACACCAGTACACAGGCCAAGAGTTCTTGTGCACCGTGTCATATCACCGCATGGTCTGCTGGAGATGGGACGCTTTGCAAGTCATGCTCCAATGTGGCACAATGTCCTTGTATGTCAGAGACAAATCCTTGTGGGGAAGGAGTTTCTTGCATCAATGAGGGAGGAGGGAGCTACATCTGTGGCGATTGTCCA